TATGCAAGGTTGTGTGGACCAGTGTGGGTAACTAGTGAGCTCATGGGCATGAAGAAGAGACAGAAAGTATACCAGAGACGTAACAACATGTTACTTAGCAAGGTTCATATCAAACTGGAGAAACACATTAGCAAACGAATATAGAATTTTAACACCACGTTTAGCAGTTTTTAAAGCATCATATCAAAAGCAAAACAAATGTCCAGTTAACACATTAAATTAATTATTTCAAAAAATAATAATAATGTTACTAGTTGATAAAACAAATTATAATGACAAAACAAATGGCCAGTTAACACATTAAATTAAATTAATTATTTCAAAAAATAATAATAATGTTACTAGTTGATAAAACAAATTATAATGACAAAACAAATGGCCAGTTAACACATTATATTAAATTAATTATTTAAAAAAATAATAATAATGTTACTAGTTCATAAAACAAATTATAATGACAAAACAAATGGCCAGTTAACACATTAATTTAAATCAATTATTTCAAAAAATAATAATAATGTTACTTGTTGATAAAACAACTTATAATGCCCCCCAGTGGCACAGCGGAAGGTCTGCAGATTTACAACGCTAGAATCCGGGTTTCGATACCCGTGGTGGGCAGAGCACAGATAGCCCATTGTGTAGCTTTGGGCTTAGTTACAAACAAGTAAAAAATTATAAGGATTACATATTGGAGACTAAAAATACAAATATATCTAAAATAATTATGAAACAACAGAAACAAAAAATGCTGTTAACAAAATTTTAAAGAATATATGCAATATGTACAATTCTGAAAGTTTTGTTGTAAGTTGGACTTTTCAGGTGTATCTTATAGTCGTGGTGGCTTTTCTTTCAGATTCCTCGTTTTTTTTTATCCACCATTACAACCAAAATGGGTACATAACTTTAACACTGGAACAATGCATTGTTGACTATCACCCACAAAGCTGCTTTGGCCCAGTCATGTGCTTTTTGTGATGTGTTGGACAGTTCATTTTAGTCCTCTCATGAGTGCAATTCACTGTCAGGCAATTCCCAAACATTTGGCTCTATCGAAAAGTCAGGATAAAAAATGTAGTCAACTCAATCTGTGATATGTCAGAAGTTCAGCTAGCAATATAAAGTTGGACTTTATGACCACTTAGGCCACAATTCAACCACTACTTGTAAAAGGTTATCTGTATATGGATGTAGCATACGTGCCATGCCCTATATCATTCATGGTGAAAACAATCACCATTATGATATATAATGGTGAATTAGCTATATTTTGTGGTTCATAATGGTGGTATAACATACCACCCTGCTCTCTTAACTGACTATATAAGAGTCAAATATTATATATATCAGTACAGTATTTGCCAGTTTGTAATGGGCATGTGCTACCTTGATACACAGTAAGTAATGTCTAAGCTATTTCTGGGTCTTTGGTTGCCCTTCCTGAAGATCTTAATTGGTCATCTGTGATGTCCATCATACATATAATAGTAACTTCTCACAGGGTTCCTAATCACTGTTGCTGCGATGGCTTAAACCGCTGCATAGTGTCCACGATCTGAATACTCACTGAATGGACATCATCCCACGAGTTTGTGGAACAATCCATTGACATTTCCATGCTCATGGCTCGGGAGGTGTTCTACATTGGAGTTGTACTTTTGCAGTGTTGTAGTACAGCATGCAATCCAACATTCTGAATTTTTGAAGCTCATTAGCCATTTCAGTAGTGCATGGTTCAACAGTGGTAGTAATATCTGAAAAATTCTACAATGACAAACAGTTCCTTTCTCATACAGTATTAATGGTCAGAATCATTCAGTATGTGACTCATATATGTTATCATGCTTCTCATATGGCCTGTATGTGTCACTTCTGCCTCTGGTACGATACCAATAACCATTTCAGTTAAATACCCATAGCGAAATTACTATATTTACAGAACACTGTTCAAGCAAGTGCAGCATGATTTCCAGACATAAAACAGTGTTTCAAATACATCAGTCTAGCAAGATTCTGGTTGCATTAGTATAAATTAAAATACTCAACCTCAGATCTTAGTCCATGGTTTTCAAAACCACACACAATGAAATTGTGTGTGTGTGCTGACACCTGCGCTCACCCACACTTGGCACCCATATCTAACACAAGTGTTGCTAAATTAAAATACCTGGAGTAGTTGCAGCCATAGCTTATTGTTGACCTTCCTGCATCTATGGTAAGCATCAGTATGAATGGTACTCATGTTTAATGGTCTTATCTGGTGACAGGATATGGATATTTAAAAAATCAATAACCAGGTAAGTCACAGTTGAAGCAAGTGATCCTTCTCTTGTGCTTTTGATAACTTCATAAATCCAACTTGTGCTACAGCCATGAAAACTGGACCAGAAAAGCCATTTTGTCTCATATGGAACCATGGTGTCTGTGGCATTTGCTCCATAGGAGCTTGTGGAGCAGGTGGTTTAGCCTTGGGGTATATGCAGACACTAGAGACTGTCTCAGAGCTAGATTCACTCCATAAACTCCTAAATAGCGATTTAGACAGATTTATAAGAACAATAAGCTTTAGTTTTATTCAGCTAATACTGTGAATTTGTTAATATTCAAACATTTTAAAGGTGGTTTTAAACGGACGATTTTTATGGCCGACATTTTTGTTTTATCACGATCCCTACTATTAAGTAATACCGTACTTAATGATTAGAGGATTTACTAAAACAAAATTGTACAGTATCGTCCATAGCAAAAGATGAGCACACAAGCTTGAAAAATTACAAAGAGTTGTCTTTTTTTTTTATCATTAATTACAAAGTTTGCACATCTGGATTAAATATTTAAAGCTTTGTAGTTGGTAAAAGCCAAAATTCAACTGGATAACCTTTCAGTATATATGTAGGAACGGACCTGCTTCTTACTGAATATATTTAGCGAAACTATGATTTATTGGTAGTACATGTAATGATGTGTTATAATTTATTTATGATATTATCTGTATCTAATGTTCCAAAGTTGTCATTATCTTCATGATAATTTTTTTTCAGGTGTTATGCAATGCATTGTGATATGTTGCCAGTCAACATCAAGTTATAAATC